CCCTGGAGACATAGGCACGCCACAGTCCCTTCTCCTCCATTCTTCTCTTTGGATTTTGGGCACACACACACATGTCTGTAATGAGTTTCAAACCACCAGGTCCAGGACTTGAATCATAGTCAGTTACGTGGGAGTCCAGCACCTTAACCACCTGCTGGCCCCACTCAATAAATATTTTATAGAGAACTTAATGATAGCCTCGTGTACTACCAAATTCTCAAAAAGGAGAGAAGAGTAAGACAGGGTCTTAGCATTTAAGAAACTCCCCTTGGAATAAAGAAGATGGACAAAACCACTTAGAGTTCAGCTGAGGAGGTGCTGTGATGGGGCAAGAATAGTGTGCTGTGGGAGTTAGGAAAGATATACCAGAAGAAATACCTTTTAGGTTTGTACTTGAATGAGTTAGGGATACAGCTTGGGAGCAAAGGCAGAGATAGCAACGATTATGAAGGCATGGAGAAGGTACATGATGCATTAAAGAAGCAAAAGTATTTTTGTGTATAGAGTTTTAGAAAAAGTCAAAAGTGAGCTGGAGAGGCAAGTAGGAGTCATAGTCTGAAGGGCTTTATAAGCCTCACTATAAGAATTGGACCTATAGGGGATTGGAGAGCCTCTGGAAGTGTTTTTTACCCAGCAGTGATGTCATTTTTAAAAAATAATTATTTTATTTAACTTTATTTATGTAATTTGCCCAGAGAGGGACAGAGAGAGAGAGAAAATAAGAAAGCAAGCTGCCAGGTCTGGGATTCGAACCATGGTCAGTCATGTGGGAGTCCAGCACCCTTAACCACTATGCTACCTGCCAGCCCTGAGCAGTGATGTCATTTTAAAATGACCACTCTGGCTGAAGTGTGGGAATAATAATAGTAGCTTTAAATATATTACCTTTTTAGTCCTTATATGAACACTGAGACATAAGTTTTATGACCTTTACTTTACAGAAGGAGAAATTAAGACTTTGAGAGTTTACTTCACTCACAAATAGTCACAAGCTTAATAGGAAGTGGAGTCATGAGCTTAATGTTTCTCTGACTGTAAAATTGTATTGCCAGGGGCCAGCAGGTCGCTGCACTCCCACATGGCTTACTGTTGTTCAAGTCCCAGACCTGGACGCTTGCTTTCTCACTTTCTCTCTAGTGAATATGCGTGTCCTACAGAAAAAAAAAAATTTAAATGATAAATAAATAATTCTTAAAAAACGTTTTTGGAACTGTATGCTATATGACCTTCAACTATTTTTTTTGTTATGACCTGCTTTATGTTTATTCTGGAAAATTCTCATTTGTTTTTATAATATTATTGGCATACTCTAACAGTTTACAAAGCACTCATTATTTAATTTACTCTCCTTATAAACTATGAAGTAGGCAGTGTTATCTCCATTTACAGGTATGAAAACAGGTTTGAGATATAGGACTGTCATGGTCTCATATACTTACCAAGTGGTGGAACTGGGACTGGAACACCAGGCCCTTGACAGAAAAAGCCTTTTTTGTGGGTATGTTTTGAATATGCCATGCTTTTTTGTGGGGCACGTGCCCTTTGCTCATTTCGTGAATGTTTAAAAGGCTTTTCCTTCCAGGTTTTGGCGATCATATTCATTGGAGGACACTAGAAGATGGGAAGAAAGAAGCAGCTGCCAGGTACAAAACATGGTCTTAGGTCATTTATGCTGGTAAAACACTTGCTTTCTTTTCTTTTCTTTTTTTTTTTTTCCTTTTTAAATATTTATTTATTTCCATTTGTTAATGTTATTTTTACTTTGACCAGAAAGAGACAGAGAGAGAAAGGGAAAGTGAAAAAGCAAGCTGCCAGGTCCAGAACTTGAACTGTGGTCAGCCATGTAGGAAGCCAGTGCCTTTAACCACCACTCCACCTGCCAGGCCCTGCTGGTAAAACACTTTGTAGCCTTTAATTTAGCACTAATTTTAGGTGATGAGCTATACCAAGGCATAACAAGAACCGATAAGTTGCCAGACAACAACAAATGAACACTAAGTGCTTACTACATACCAAGCATTAAATTATGTAAATTAACTCATCTAATTCTCACAGCTCCTCTTTGAGGTGGGTATTGTTGTTACTTTCATGTCAGATATCAAAACTAAAGCACAGTACAGTTAAGTAACTTGCCCAAGATCATGCTAGTACATGGTAAAGCCAAGATTCAAACCCAGGCACTCTAGTTTCAAAGCCCTCACTCTCAACCAGTTAACATATTGCCTACTAAACTCAAATTGAATAGTCTCAAGACCCAAGTAGTTTTAGTTTATCCATATATAAAATTCAGTGCATATGGAGAAGAAAAAGGTAGTACAGTGGGAGAAAGCTAAGCACTGACTGAAGAGTTTTACGTACATTGATTTATTTAATCCTCATAATAATCTATGAGGTTCAGCTGTAAAGTAATTTATTTTACAAAAGAGGAAATCAAAGTACTGAAAACTTAAAAATCTTGTCAACAGTTGCATATTGCAAGTAAGTGAAAAAGTCAAGCAAGACTTGAGCGTTCTGTACTATACTGTGATGGAGAGATACAAAGACCTACTCCACTCTGGAATATGTACAACTACATTATACATACACATACTTGCACAGGCACGCTCATCCTTCTGTACCTATCAAATTATAGTGCTTGCTGTTTCTAGAACAGATCTTACAATTTCATGGCACTGGTTCTCAAACCTTCTCAGGAGTAGAGTTGCCAAATTAAGCAAATAAAAAAAAAGGGGTGTTCAGTTAAACTTGAATTTTAGATAAGCAACAACTAACTTTAATTGTGGACAAGCACTATTTGGAATATACTTAACACTAAAAGAAAAATTGTTTATCTGATGATCGTTTAACCGGGCATCTTGTATTTTATCTGGTAGCCCTACTGAGGAGAAAAATTCTTATTCCTCTTTCAAGTTCTAAATCAAATGACTATTCCTAAGTAAAGTGTTCAACAGTTTGTTTTTCTCTTGCGTCCTTTTGTAACTTCATTTATATCTACCCAGTAGAGTTTTGGCCACTCTGTAGATTCCTGAGTCTTCCCATTCAGACTCTTGATATCCTGAGGGAACACTGTGTTATGTTCATCTTTGAATCCCCAACCATAGAGATGCTGAATGATGGAAATAATTAGATGTTGGAGGAGGAGCAAGGAAAGCTAGCGTTTATGGATTGCCTTTTTTATGCCAAAAGGGCTGATTGTCTAGCAGTATTTAATGCTCATTAACGCCTCATTAAATGGATGGGCCGTGCGGGGAGATCACATTCCCTTGAGGCCTAGAACGACTGACCTAAATAAGCGACGCCACCGTGGTCTCTGCATCTCCTCTTTGAGAAAGCTGTAGTTAGGCCTGGTTGGCTTACTACTGTTTCCATGGAAACAAGAGAGCCTGTGAGACGAGGGTGACAGGAAGTGTCGTTTGTGCTTCCGGTTAGGGCCGGAGACGTGGGAAACCCGGAAGTTGCTCGGGCGCCGCTGCGCACGGCCGCGCGGGGAGAGGATGCCGCTCGTGGTGGTCTGTGGGCTGCCGGGCAGCGGCAAGAGCCGGCGTGCGGACGAGCTGCGCCGGGCCCTGGCCGCCGAAGGCCGCACGGTGTCGGTGGTGGACGACGCGGCGGGGCTGGGCGCCGAGGGCGGCACCGGCTACAGCGACTCGGCCCGCGCGGA